AAAAAAAAAAAAATACTATTCCTGGAATAAAAACAACTGTTTGAAAGATGTCAGAATGAATGGTAAAAAATTCTTTTCTTTTGCTGTTAACTTACACTTTCACGAAGAAATTTTACAACCATTTAGTCTGTCGACGACAAACTTTATAAGCTTTTTTACTAGTACACATAAATTAGTTTGCTTTATTTAGGGAGTGAAAAGGCTATGCTCAAGAGGTGTTCAAAAGAAAAGCCCTTAAAAGTATCTTTGCTAATATTCAAGCCAAAAAAGTCAAGTTTTTGGGTTTTTTAAACAACTTCTTTGAAATGTTACTTGTTTCATTTGTTTTTTCTGTTTCCATTTAAACTATTTCATCTTTTTAAATTCCAGAAATTGTGCATTTTCAGCAGCTATCTGTGTTCTAGATGCTCTAAACGAACCCAGAAATCCACTTTAGAACTTGACTTAAAAAGCCAAAATACTATCACTTTAAGCGCTTCAGTCTTCCCGTATAATTTTTTCGTAATTAAGATGGAGCGACTTACAGACAATGTCGCCTTAAGTTCAGCCTACCAACGAACACAGAGTCAATAAGAGAGGCAACCAGCTCCTGATTGCACACATACTCCTTTCTCTTTAAACACCAAAAATCTTTATGTATGTAAAGAAGCCTGTGCTAACTCTTAAGTAAACTTTATTTCGTTTGACCATTTCAGTCCACTAGTCAAGAAAACACTCTAAATTTTAACAATATCCTTTCGGAAAAGCATTACTTCTTCATCTGAAGCACTCTTCCTACATCTCACCAGGTATTGTTTGCCGCATCCAGTAATGTTATTCAGTCTTCCAACTGAAAAAAACTAAACAAAAAACTTTACTATTATATTAAATGCTAATTTTTCTTGTCGAAATTTTTCATAACCCTCGCTCTTTACGTAAGGATTACACGCTACCCATTGTTTCTAGACACTGTAAGAACTGAATTCGATTTACTGTAAGACCATCATATAAACGCCAGTAACACTGGATCCTTACTTTTAGGTTCCTTTTGCCCATTCAAAAAAACTCCATAACAACTTCCTTCGTTCTTTAATTCAGTTTTTGGCCTCTCCCAGAAATCCCGAGCAAGAGGACAGCTTCTGCCGTCAGGAAATAAACCTTCCTTTGTAGGAGGCAAAAATATATAACGACTCGTCGTAGACCACTTACTGCTGATAAAGAGGTCTAAACTAGTAACCATTTAATATTTTATTTTATTTAAGGTACGTATGTATATTTGTAAATTGTTCAGAGCGCTTGGTATCTAATTGATGTGATGAATATCAAAAAGTCTCAAAAAGAAAATAAATAAACGAAAGGTGTAATTTTAAGATTCAACACAGGCGGGTGCCTAGCTGTACAGTGTTTTGAAGCCCATTTTACATGAAAAAAAACAGTTATGTGATTTTTAAAATTCCAGTTGATAGGTCAGTGTAATCGTCTATCCAATTTATTTTTAATTTTCATATTTGGACTATCAGATCTTTGCCAATACTGATGAGACCTATGGTTTTAACGACAATTCACAGAATGAGAAATTATTATATATAACCCCTAAAGTGCTGAAATTAAGAAAAAGATAGTAAGCCCGTTGTTCTATTCTATATAATAAGAAAAGCACAGAAATAACTAGAAGTGTGTTTACTGTAATTGTTCAAATTAGGTAGGGCAGGAAAGAAATGCCACCCGAACTGGCGTTCCGCGTGAACAGTGATACTGACTACGACGTAGGAGGCAGAAAGTGGTTTTGGTCAACTAAAAGCCCAGAATTTTCCACGCTCTACCGCTCCATTTCACTGAGCCTATACTCGACCAAAAATTTTCATCACATCTTCACTTGGTTTCTATCTCAGTTTATGTTCATTCAAATCTGTTTCTTGTGATGGTTCCATCCAAAATTGGACATCTCGCTGTCTGACTTTTTTCAAAAATCTTACTTTTCATCCTTAATTCTGACTAGGAAATTTTAAGTTTTTCACACAGATTACTCTTTTGAGAGGAGTGATTTCCTCTTTTTTTCCTTCGCCAATGTTCTCGACTGCTTTTCTTGTTACTCTCTTTCCGACTAGTCCTTACAGAGAAAAGTGGCAAGGGACACTCCATAAGACAGCATAATTTTTTTTAATACTAACAACCTTTAGTCAGAGTTCTTGAAAAATTAACACTGCCTCATATTGCCTCATATTATTCAGTTTGAGGAACTTTACAGCATTTACTCAGCTGCTTATAAGCAGCAGGTCAATAATAAAGAACTGAGAATGTTAGGTTCT